AAAAATCGCGTATTAAAATTTAAATAATTATTTATGTATTTAATAAATTAAAGTGGAATCTTTTGGAAATGATTGATTGTATCAAGCATTAATATTTCCAACAAAAACCAACGAAAAATTTATTAAAATTACCAAAATATATGCGAGGGACATTAAAGTTAAAGGTTCTAGAGATATACCCATATTTTTTTCAATTATTTAACAATTATTTTTAACTAAAATTCTTTTCTAAATTAATTATTTTCAATAATTTTAATGAAATTCCTCACAAATTCAATTATTTTAAACAATTTTTCAATTAAAAATTTTATGAAATTCAATAATTGTTTACAATTAAAAAAAAAATCAAATAAAATTACAACAAAATTTCAATTTAAAATTTTCCATTTAAAACTTTTTCAAATTTAATAATATCAATTATAATTCTTCCGAAATTCAATTACTTTTATAATATTCTTCGAAAATTCAATTAACTGAAAGTATTTGTCTATTTTAAAAAAAAGTTTGAAGTTTAATTTTTGCCTGTAATTTCTAACAAATTCTTCATAATAACAGACATAACAGAAATAATCGAAAATTTGAAATAAAAAATTACTTTCCGTTATTTCAATTTAAATCTACCTATGAAAAATTAAATTATTTATTAAAAATTTAATTTTTAAAAATTTTAATGCGATTTAGTAAAAAACGGACAATAATACAATTTTCAAAGATTTGAGGTCAATTGAGTCGCCTGAAACTAAAACCACACATAAAATTCTGACTCCCATTGAATTAACATGGCCGTCAGAATTTTATGTGTGGTTTTACTTTCCGGCGACTCAATTCTGCCATAAATTAAATTATTTCTGAAAAATTATTTATTATCGGTAAAAAATTTTCCATTATTTTCCAAAAAATTTAATTATTTTTCAAAATTATAATTATAATTTGTTAAAAACTTTAAAAAATAAAAAATTTCAATGAAATTCAGGCAAAAATTAAAATATTTTTCAAATTTTCAATTAAAAATCACTTGAAATTGAATTATTTTCAAAAATTTCAATTTAAAACCTTTTAAAATTTAATTGTTTCTAAAAAATTTCCATCTTATTTCATCTAAATTCAATTCTGTAAAATTTAATTATTGCCTGAAATTTAACAAAATATTTTGAAATTCAATTATTTCTTTCAAAATTCAATTATTTAAAAAAGTTTCAAATAAAAACAATAAAATTGAATTGTTATTAAAAATAAGAAGAAAAAAACTACAGCAATTTAAATTTGCAGAAAATTTATTTCAAATTAAATTTTTTTTTGCAATTTAATTATTTAAAAAAAAGAATTTAAAAATCTGTAAAACTTAATTATTGTTTGAAATAAATAAATTTTTATTGGTAATATTCTTATGATAAGGAATTAATATATTGAATTTAATATCTAGTAACATTAGTTATTTAAAGTAAAAGTATTTATTAACTAATCATAATTAAAATAAAATAATCGACTTTTTCGACTTTTTTTGGGAATGTAAATCGACTAAAACGACTTTTTTGCACCTTGAAGACGATCCGAGGTCTGACTTCAGCCCATTTTACGGTAGATTAGATTAGATTTATTTCTACATTGTACCAAATTTTATGTAAATCTGAGCATTTTTAAAAACGTTTAGTTTGTGCTATATTGGATCCACCATTTTGAATTTTTCAATTTATTCTTCATATTTGAATTCAGTGACCTCAAAAACATTAGAATACCAAGTTTCGAACAAATCAATGAATTTTTAGAAATTTAAGTAATTTTCTACTTCCGCTTAGGAATTAATTCCTAAGCATTTAAGGTCGTTGATTGCGAAAATAATGCTAAAATTTCGAAATTCAAAATGGCGGAAGTGGAAAATTACTTAAATTTATAAAAATTCATTGATTTGTTCGAAATTGAGTATTCCAATGTTCTTAAGGTCACTACATGAATTCACATTTAAAGAATACTAGACGTAGACTGCGCGCGCCTTTTAAATTGGTATTTCGTGCTTGACCAGAAATAAGTAAAGAATATTCATATTGCAAATGTCAAAATGTGTTATGATTGAAAATTAGTCAAAAGTTCAATCTTTTGTCGATAATAATTTATTTGACCGGAATTTATGATGTCAACACTCTTAAAAGTCGACATTTTATTAGAATGCTTTTATATGAAATTGGTTTGTCATTTTCTAGAAAGGACATAGAACCATCTAGAAACTTAATGAAAACTTTTAGAATTTTCTAGAAATTTCTTGAAATTTTTGAGAAACTTTGTGGAACATTATATTCACAATACCTTGTACTATCTTCATGGAATTATCTATATACTTTATGGAACCTTCTAGAAACCTCATAAAACTTTTTAGGGTTTTCATTGGAATTTTCTAGAAACTTCATGGAACTTTCTAGAAACTTTCTAGAATTTTCAAGAAACTTAATGAAACTTTTTAGAGTTTTCATAAAACTTTCTAGAAACTTAATGAAACTTCGTAGAAACTTCATGAAGCCTTCTAGAATTTTTGTGGAATTTTCTAGAAACGTCGTGGAATTAAAAAAAAATTTAATGAAACTTTTTAATCCCTCCCAGTCGAAAATCCTACGCTATGTTAAGCTGAACAAAAAGTTGTTTTGAAGTATTGAGATAACCATTAGAGAATTGTGAGACAGTAGATAACTAGCTATAGAAAACTTTCAGGAAGCCTGTTATGGCCGATTTTTCGCTTCCACGGAAAGCTTGAAAATAACAAATTTTGTACGTTTTAAACAAAGCATTCAAGTAGCTTTGAGAGAGTTATCAAAGAGTTGCAGGATTTTGCATATATAAAAAGAAAGCGTTCAGGTGGCGAAAATTAAATGAAGCGTCATGGATGTTTCAGGAAACAGCGGAAAAATGACAATGATCAAAAATTAAATTTAACCTTTCTTTCCATCTTTATTTATCTCTAGTGTTGCCGCAAGACGAGACAAGACGAGATTCTGATCAATCTCGTCTCGTCTTGTAAAGTCGAGACGAACAATGAGTCTTGTCTCGAAAAAGTCTCGTCTTGATACATAGAGTCTCGTCTCGTCTTGAATGGTCTCGATATTTTTCAAAAAATAAAAATTATTGATTTGTTTTTATATCACGGGTCGTTTGAACTATGTTCAACTCAAAGATTTTGTTACTTCTGGTTTTCTTGTTGAAAGGTATTCTCTAAGGCTTAAATAATAAAAAAAGTTTTTTTAAAAAAAATTTTTTTTAACTTTTTTCTTATTTAAACCTTAGAACAAGTTTGGAAACTTTTTTTAAAAAAATATTTTTTTAAAAACTTTTTTCTTATTATTTAAACCTTAGAGAATAATTTTCAGTAAGAAAACCAGAAGTAGCAGAACTTTTAGGTTAAACATAGTTCAAAAGACTCGTGATATGATGTATTAAACCTCAGATAACTGACTTAATATTTTGTCTGTATATTGTAAATAAAAACACTTATTCATATGTTCCATAAATTTTGATATGTTATATAGCAGAAAAATTTCAATTACAAATAAAAAATCGATTATGCTACTATATATTGCTATACGAATAATATAATAATTAGAGTTGTGCAAATGTCAAAAATTCGATTCTCTCCATAAGAATTAACATGGACTCGGTTCGGTTCGAATTTCGAGTCCATGTAAAATTCGAGTTATTGCACACCTCTAATAATAATGAATATTACAACCGAAACAGGCTAAGTAACAACAACATAGAATATCTTTTATGTTTGAACTCCTGGTTTTCTTCTTCTGTCTCTACTAAAATCAAAAATGAATTTAAAGAAAAGTAAAGAAATCTAAAATTTTTATAACAAATAGATTTCTATTATTTTAAATGTTCGTGTTTTTTAATAATTAAAAAATTTTATTACGTGTTCTCTATATTAATAATTATTTATTTGTGGATAAATTAAAATTTATGAGAATGAAAGTATTCATTTACACTTAACAAAGTTATGCGTAATACTTATTTTTCTAGTAATCAGTTTATACTCGAGACTCTTGGTCTTGTCTTGATCTTGACACAGTTGATCTCGTCTCGTCTTGAATAATCGAGACAAGATAAATGGTCCGTCTTGTCTTGGTCTTGTCACCTTTAGTCTCGTCTTGTCTCGAAAAGTCTTGAGTCTTGCGGCAACACTAATTTTCATTAAACAGAATATTCATTTAAATGAATTTTTATTAGGTAGAATTTTAATAGAAAGAATTTACTTTTAGCGGAAGTTTTATTTCTTAGAATTATAATTTAGCAGAATTTTAATTTAATCAATTTTTAGCATTGCAGAACTTTTATTTAGTCGAATTTTTATTTAAAGAATTTCTATTTGATCGAATTTGCATTTGTCCGAATTTTTATTAACTCGAATTTCTATTAAACAGAATATTTATTTAGACGAATGTTTGTAAGACAGAATTTCCATTTCACCGAATTTTTATTTGTTCGAATTCTTATTTGAACGTATTGTCATTTGAAAAAATTCTTAAAACGTCGAATTTGCATTTGACCGAATTTGCAAATGGTTGAATCGTTTTTGCCGGATGCTTATTCGGACATTTGCAAATTCAGTCAAATGCAAATTCGACGTTTTAAGAATTTTTTCAAATGACAATACGTTCAAATAAGAATTCGAACAAATAAAAATTCGGTGAAATGGAAATTCTGTCTTACAAACATTCGTCTAAATAAATATTCTGTTTAATAGAAATTCGAGTTAATAAAAATTCGGACAAATGCAAATTCGATCAAATAGAAATTCTTTAAATAAAAATTCGACTAAATAAAAGTTCTGCAATGCTAAAAATTGATTAAATTAAAATTCTGCTAAATTATAATTCTAAGAAATAAAACTTCCGCTAAAAGTAAATTCTTTCTATTAAAATTCTACCTAATAAAAATTCATTTAAATGAATATTCTGTTTAATGAAAATTCTAAAAAATGAAAATTCTGACACATAAAAATTCGATCAAATGGAAATTCTGTTAAATCAATATTTGGTTAAGTAACAATTCTGTAATGTGAAAAAACGATGAAATAGAAATTCTGTGAAAAAACTTTCCATGTGTCGATAAAAAAGATCGTTCCTAAATTTCAAATTATCCTCTGAACGTGCTTTCATGATAAACACACAGAAAACAGAACGTGGATAAATAGAAAAAAAAGAATGTGTCTCACTTTAACGCGACGATGAAAGGGAGAAAAGAATCAGGTTCAAGATCCGACCAATGGGATACGCGTTACGTTACTCTTTAGAGATTTCTTATTAAGGAAATAGGAAAATTCAAAATGATGGATCCAATATGGCGGACTAAAATGTTTTAAAAATGCTTAAATTTAAATAAAATTTGGTATTCCAATGTTCTTGAGGCCGCTGAATTAAAATATGTCGGTTAAATACAAAGTTTAGTTCAAATCCAAGTATTTTTTAAAAATTGATTCCGACATTTTGAATTTTTTAATTTAACCAAGATATTTGAATTTAGCGACCTCAAAAACATTAGAATACCAAGTTTCGAACTTAGGAAAATATGTTTTTTTTTAATTTCATTATGATTTACCGGTTCATACACTTCAATTTATCTTTTTTTTTTATAAAAATAACCAACTTCGCTGAAATTTGTAAGGCCCACAAAATGAGATCAAGAATTCTCTATAATTTTTCTCTATCTCTTAATTCGTCATTTCAACCAGGAACGCATGTGATTACATTTTTTCTTCGATGAAACAAGATCTCTCCAATAAATACAATAATAGAACAAGTAAATCCAAAAACCAAAATGTAGACCATAATTTCTATTAGATCCTTACTACTTTCCGACACATCAAAAGTTAACTTTCCCGAGGTAGTAGTATGACTTGTGAATTCTGAATCAATATAAATTTTAGACCATTTTCTGTATATTCCAACTTCTTCTAATTTTATTAGAACACGTTCAAATAATTTGACATATGGAGATGCTGCTTCCATTTCAAAAATACCTGGATATAACGAGACATACTCTTTAATAACCTTTATCAATGGTTGACCATTCTCATTTCTATTACTTTTGACAGCTAAATGTGCTCGAGGACCACGCATCATACATGATACATTTTTATACTTCAGCAAATATTCAATGCAATCTTCGTCAGTTATTGGTTTTACAACAGTTCTCTTATAGAATTTCACTGCATTACTTTCTGTATTTAATGTTACCAGTCTGTACATATTATAAGTGGTATACAATGAGAGATTTGACATAAACAAATCATCAAGAGTTTTCATTTCCTTATTTGAAATTGCTGGTAAACTTGATTTTGTAAATGTTGAATAAATATCCGACGAATAAAAAAAGCAAGCCAAAAGCACAGATCCCATAATTATTCTTTCGATTAAGGATTTTGGCATTTGTGGTACACTAAATCCAAGAGCAATTTCCATAATGTATGTAATTTGCCAATTTTTTAGATTAAATCTTAAAACTCGAGATGTAATCCAAATAAAAAGTAATAGGCCAAAGAAGGATAAAATGTGGAATATTTCGAATTTATTATTCACATAATTGGCATTATCAGTGAAAATAATTGGTACTACTGCAAAGTAATAGACGATTTGATAATTTTCACTTACTGACAAAAGATCAGTAAAAAATTTTGGAGGCTTAATTGCCTGATTCCCAATCAAATGCAATCTGTTGTATATTAGTTCTAAAAGCATGCCTTCGTTTTTTTCTTTAACGCTATTTCCAATGTCCCAGGAAGTTTTGTTTGTAATCTTCTCAATAATTTTAAAATTTCTAGCTCTTGCTAGTGATTTTACAGTAACAACATCAATACCATCTAAATATCTAACATGACCTGTTGAGTTTCGAAAAATAGTTACATAAGGTGGATAGTGGAAAAATCCAACTGACAGAGGATATCCATGTAAATTGTTTAACTTGTCCGGAAATAAATCTAATTTGCATGAGATTTTTTTTTGAACAAATTTATTAGAAAATGGATTGTAAAATAATTGCCTAGTGATCATATTTTTATTGGCAGATAAAAAATAATCTGTTGTATTTTGCTTCTTATCAAGCTGCAAAATGGTTACATCAAGAAAATTTTTAGACCACATAAATTTAAGTACTTCTTTGTGATTTTGGTTCTTTTTTCTTTCCAAGGCAACTAAAACTTTTGATCGTCTCTTTGCTGGAGCATAACGATTCAAAAAATCCACTATTTTTGATAGTACCGCAAGTGGATAATAAACTGATGAAAGACAAGTTACAAGCAACAATGTTGCTCGTGGTTCTTCAAAAAAGGGACCATTTTTATGTACAATGGAATACAATTCTGTTATATTTTGAATGTCAAATACCATTGTTGGGAAGCTGAGCAAATTTGTAATTTCATTGTGTTGTTCAGTGTCATCATTTACAAATAAGAATATTTGTCTTATTTCATCATTCCTTTGCAAATAATTTTTAACGATATTTGGAAGTGAATTGCAATTTTGCGAATTAGAATTACCTTGAAAATAGATTAAGAAAATGACAATTAACAGTAGACTATTTGCTGAGTTCATTGTTATCTGAAACAAAAATAATATTTTTTCAAATTGTAAAATGAAAAAAAGTTTTATCTTTGTTAGGGTCATTTGGGGTAAATGTAAACAGAAATATCTATTTTTCACCAAAAACATAAGTTTTTTATTTCGTTAAACGGTAAAACTGGCGGATTTCTTTTGCATGAATTTATTATTTCTGAAACATTTATAAGCTCTCAGTCCGGGGATTTCTCTTATATTATAATATATTTCTATATTTTATTAAATTCTTATGACATATCGGTTCTGAGAAGCAAATGAGTTTAAACACATGGTTGAATGACTAATAAACATAAATGTTTATAGGTATTTATCACCCACATATTATCAATTTCCCTACAAAAGGCTTAATGATATTTTTCCTGATCTTCGATTGATTTTTTTAATTCTATACAATTGAAATTATTCATGACACTGAAGTTACCAACGTTGAATTGACGAAAAGAATTTTTTTTTCCTAAGATTGAATATTTCCCCGCCTTAATTGAGGATTTTTAGTGTTTAAGGATGTATTCGGGACCAAAATAAAGAAGTTTCAATATAAAAAAATTGGTTCTTGACCTTTAAACTAATTTGAAAACGAAAAATTCGTTCGTTGATTCGTCGAATCAACGTTGGTAACTTCAGTGTCATAATTATTCTAATAGAGAGTTGGAATTCTTCATAGCAGGTACTTAATTTTAGAGGTTGGTGTTGCAAAAAATGTTGTATGTTGACATAATTTATTTGCATAAAATGTAAGAATTTTTTGATTCAAATAAATCAAAATTTGAATTGAATAAATAACATATTTATTTACTAATTCTTCCATTTCTAAATTAAATTCTTACTCAAATAAATAAATTAACCCATTAAGGACGGGAAGGACAATTTTTAAAAGCAATTTTCAATGACATATTTCTCTGCGACTAAGAGTTTTAAAAATTTGAGAGGAAGTGTGTCTTATGTATTCGATATCGCTCTTTCAGAATCCATATTCAAAATTTTGAAAAAATCCAAATTCAAAAAGTTACGGCCATGTTTTTGAAAAAAAACACGGTTTTTTGAAAATTTTTTATTGTAAATAAAGGAAATTTTTCGAAGCTATTCGCTTTAGGAGATGCATAAAACCCTAAAATGTCGTGTCCTAAATGTTCAGACATGAGAATGGTGCAAAAGGTTTTTTTTAAAATTCAAGATGGCGTACCAAACATGGCGTCCAAATTCAAAATTTTTTACAAAATCATAACCTAGTGGACGAAATTTTAAAAAATGCTCAAATGTGCTTGAAATTTATTACTCGGGGGATTTTTGGGGTCGCTGATTACGAATCCGATGTTAGTTTTTCAAAATTCAAAATGGCGGATCCAATATGGCGGACGACTTTTGGAAAATCTAATGCAATTCGCTTGAAACTCGTTACTCGGGGGTTTTTGGGGTCGCTGATTACGAATCCGATGTTAGTTTTTCAAAATTCAAAATGGCGGATCCAATATGGCGGACGACTTTTGGAAAATCTAATGCAATTCGCTTGAAACTCGTTACTCGGGGGTTTTTGGGGTCGCTGATTACGAATCCGGTGTTAGTTTTCAAAAATTCAAAATGGTGGATACAATATGGCGGACGACGTTCTGAAACTCTAATGCAATTCGCTTGAATCTTGTTACTCAGGAGTTTTTGGGGTCGCTGATTACGAATCTGAAGTCAGATTTTTAAAATTTCTAAAAATTCAAAATGGTGGATCCAATATGGCGGACGAATTTTTAAAAATCGTTTTGATTCGTCTGAAATTTTTTACTCTGGGTTTTTTGGAGTCGCTGATTACAAATCCAATGTTAGCTTTCAAAAATTCAAAATGCCGGATCCAACATGGTGGATAAGTTTTTTTAAAAACAATTAATTTTCGCTTGAAAAGATAGTTGTGATTTATTATTATTATTAACTTTTTGATGAGTAATTTATGGTGGTGGTGGTGGTGTTGAAGACCGTAACAAATTTCAGACGTATCAGAACGATTTTAAAAAATTCGTACACCATATTGGATCCATCTTTGAATTTTTTGAAATTTTAAAAATCTGACTTGAGATTCGTAATTAGTAACCCCAAAAACCCTCGAGAAGCGAGTTTGTAACGAATTGGGTCACTTTTTTAAATTTTATCCACCATGTTGAATCCGCCATTTAGAATTAAGAAAATTTTAAAAATCTGCCATCAGATTCGTAATCAGAGACCCCGAAAACCTCCGAGTAACAAATTTCAGGCGAATTTAACAATTTCAAAAATTTGTCCGCCGTATTAGATCCGCCATTTTGAATTTTTGAAAACTAACACCGGAATCGTAATCGGCGACCCCAAAAACCCCCGAGTAACAAATTTCAGGCAAATTGGATCAATTTTTTAAAAAGTCGTCCGCCATATTGTATCCACCATTTTGAATTTTGAAAAACTAACATCGGATTCGTAATCAGCGACCCCAAAAATCCCCCGAGTAACAAATTTCAAGCACATTTGAGCATTTTTTAAAATTTCGTCCACTAGGTTATGATTTTGTAAAAAATTTTGAATTTGGACGCCATTTTTGGTACGCCATCTTGAATTTAAAAAAAAACCTTTTGCACCATTCTCATGTCTGAACATTTAGGACACGACATTTTAGGGTTTTATGCATCTCCTAAAGCGAATAGCTTCGAAAAATAATAATTTACAATAAAAAATTTTCAAAAAACCGTGTTTTTTTTTCAAAAACATGGCCGTAACTTTTTGAATTTGGATTTTTTCAAAATTTTGAATATGGATTCTGAAAGAGCGATATCGAATACATAAGACACACTTCCTCTCAAATTTTTAAAACTCTTAGTCGCAGAGAAATATGTCATTGAAAATTGCTTTTAAAAATTGTCCTTCCCGTCCTTAATGGGTTAAAAAATATGTAATTTCTACATACTATGATTGGATATTTTCATTTTTCAACTATAATTCATACATAGAATTAATGATTAAACGCAAACCTATGAGAAATAAATAAATTTAACGCATGGGGGGAATCGAACCTACGACCTACGGATTATGAGTCTAACGCTTTACCAACTACGCTACGTGAAAACGAATGTTAACTTCTTGATGTCATTTAAATTTTCAAAAGATCTAACTCAGAAAAGTGCTTAACATCACTTAGTTAAAATTAAAATATTAAATTATATTTTCCAATTAAATGCAATTTATAAAATATAATTAATTATATGCTTCATGATTATTATCATGAATCATCCCAGGTGAATTTTCAAAAAAAGGGTAAATATATTTTTATTAAAAACGCGTTTTTCGTTGTTCTGAATCATTGGAAACATTCATTTTTTGTTGATGAAAAAATATTTGACTTTTGGACTTACAATTAGAATATTAAATAATATATATATAAATAAATGAATAGTATCAAATACTTTTTATTTGTATAAAAAAAATGAAATATTTGAGTGAAATAAATAAATTAATAGTTGCAAGTAACTCATTATTTTCGTTTTAAATAAACATTTAATTGATTAAAATATTTTTTTATTTGTCTTGATAAAATAGTGTATTAGTAGGGGAGGATGGGGTAAGGATAGTTAGGTAAGACATTTTTGGATCTAGTAGCTAAAATTCAACAGGCATCGGAAAAAGAATAGTATCGTTCGAAAGCCTGTTTATTTAGCTACAATTTTGTAATACATTATTTTGCTGTGGATTGCAATGCCTTCGAGATATTAGCAGAAAATTAAAAAAAAAATTAACTATCCTTGCCCCATCCTCCCCTATTAAATAAATTAGTTTACTTCAATCCATTAAATAAAGTTATTGTATCAAATACTTTTTATTTGTTTCAATAAAACGAAATATTTAAGTGAAATAAATAAATTAATTGTTTCAAGTAAATCATTATTATCTTTTTAAATAAATATTTAATTGATTGAAATATTTTTTTATTTGTCTTGATAAAATAGTGTATTAGGATTAAATAACGAATTATTTGTATTAAATAATTCAGTTTATTTGTATCAATTACATAAATTAATTGAGTCAAATACTTTTTATTTGTATCACATAAACGAAATATTTGAGTGAAATAAATTAATGAATAGTTTCAAGTAACTCATTATTTGTATTAAATAAATTCATTTGAATACCCGGATCAAATAACTCGACCGACGCTCGGACGAACGCTCTATTACCAGTCAAGTAGCAGTGACAGCCTGTGGGCGGCTCACTGCTAGCCGACTACCATTAGAGCGTACCTCCGAGCGTCGGTCGAGTTATTTGATCCGGGTATTCATTTATTCAATTCAATTAATTATTTAATTGAACCAAATACGATTTATTTGGTTCAAATAATTCAAGTTATTTGAATCAAATACATATTTTTTTGATCCAAATAAAAAGTATTTGAACCAATTAAATATTTTTCAAATAATTTGAAGTATTTGAATCAAATAAAGTTTTTTTTCAGTGCATGTGGATCGCCTATTGCAATGCACATGGCATAAGAATATTAAACAAGAATTACGATTTAATCTTTGTTACCACTCTTGGAAAATCAATAGTGTTGGTGGAAATCGTTAGAAAATTCCTGACCATTGATTTTCCGCGGCTTGACTTTAAAGATTTGTTTAGTTTTTGTATATTTTGTTGAATAATTTTTATTATTGCTTTGAAAAATCAATCGTGTTAGTAGAAATCAAAAGAAGGCTCCTGACAATCGATTTTCTTCAGCAAGTAATTTTTATTACCAATTTTGAAAAACCAATCGTGTTGGTAGAAATCGTTAGAAAGCTCCTAATATCAGTAATTCCAAGTTCAAAAGACTTGACTTTGTATAGAGTTTTATTATACTGAAAATTTCTTTATATTTATAATATAAAAGAAAGCTCTTACCAGTGTAATACTGTTCAGAATAAAGAGACAGAAGTGTGCATTTTCTCGGCTTATAAAGGCTCGTTCATATACCCTTATTTTCTCGGGGCTAGTGAAATTCAAAATGTTCGGGTGTGAAAATTTAAGAAACTTTAAATTGATTGAGTGAGTGTTACAAACCGGAAAATTAATTAATATAAAATTATCAATTTTGAGGTAAGGGGAGGCACCAAGCTGCCAGAATTTAAAGTTAATCGAAAGTGTGTAGGAAAGGTAACTCCAATTCTGTTTAATTATGTGGGGTCGTTTATCCTTTTAAACGTTCCGCCAAACCACCATGTAGGTAAAGAAAAATTGAAACTATTATTAAAGGGAGAGAAGAAGGTAAGAGAGAAAAGAAAAACTCTTAAGAGAATTAGGTTATAGTAGATCGTTTATTATAAATCAAGTTTTAATAGTAGACAATAAATTGGAAACGATACATGTTTCATTTACTTACGGTACAGCGCTTAATGTTACCGCTATTCGACGTATACACAGTGGTTTTATTATGTCGAAAACGGGCGAAATAGAAGATAGAGCTTTCGTGCTGTGGGTCCACCAAATTGGGTTGACGCAGGTACCTCGGGCACAAACTGGCCAGTTATGCAACGGGAATCCTAATTAATTAATTGCATAATTAATTAAGGTTCCCACACAAATTAGCTTCCACGGGACTCCGCCGATTTGGAGTATTCAGTAGATTTATCGTCCGCCCAAGTTTTATTGACTAACTTTTTAACCCGGATTCGACGCGCAGACGGGCTAAGTCGCGGCGTTTCCAAGCTCAAGAAACTCCTCGCCAGGTCAGAACCAGGAGAAGTGTTGCTTAATGAGCTGAGAAAGTAGTACTGCGTTAATTGAATTTTCGCGACATGCCTCTAGTCCTTGCCTTATGGTCTAGGTGGGATAATTAAGACTTTGGGGGAGTTAAAGAATTGAGGGAGGGGAAGATGCACACGGCTCATTGGACGCTGCATTTTGCTGACGTTTTTGATTCTCACTCTGGGTTCCGTGGGAACGGAAATGCTACTAGAAACCGACATTTGTGTGTTTATATTTTTTTTTTTACTAAAATTATAAATCACAGTATATTATTTGATTTATTAGTTTACAACTATGGCTTAATATATACTTCTTTTTTTTTATTTTAATTTAATGTGATCATACGAGTCACATTCGTATTATTGTAAGTTACAAGTACATTGAATATACCCGCAACTCGCATTCCTCCGGCATCTTAATGTCAACCGGGGGTTGCAATAAGATTTAAATTATTTTGAGCCAATGTCTATTCTGTAGCATACATTTGGCATAGTACATTTATGTGCCAGCAGTGAGTTATCGGTTTCGAACGCACGTGCGTTTGTTTTCAAAAGCTGTAGTCCGTAGGCCGGTAGCTTTCAGGGGGGAGGAGAAGGGAAAAGAGAAAACCAAGGCAACAAGCGGAGACATGCGACGTGTTGGCGTAACGTTGTTGCGTGCAATAGGTTGCAAGTGTGCCCGTAATACAGCCTCATGACTGTATTGGTACTCACGGACGGAGAGTCCCTTTGTGCGCATATTACCATAGCCGCCCAATGCATCTTGGACCCATGGCTCAAGATGTTTGCTTAATTATGTTATTATCTAATTCCCAGGCAGTCATTCGATCCAATGCTTTATAATTCCTTTTACATTTCGCGTATGGTCGTAATGACATTCTCGTCTTTACACATATACGTTCTTTTCTGTGTTTTTTTTTTTAATCAAAATGAATAGGCGAAAGAAAAGAAAAATTTAGACTCCAATTACTCATACCCATACAACACTTACATTGTTGACAGTTACTATGTGTATTATTTCGATTGGTAATATTACCGCAAGGTTCCCTTACAGTTTAACGGTACGCTCATAAGAAAATTATTTATCGTTAAAATTGTCGCCTATTGCGTTACACATGTTTTATATAAATTGGGAAGGGGCTGCAAGTATGTTGCGCCATTTAACATATACAAAAGAAAGGAAAAAATAACTTTTAAACCTAATAGTTTATATTCGACTTAGGTCGAGTCAAAACTCAACGCTGAATGAATTGCCGACTTGTTAAATGTAATCTGGGTGTCGAGTATCACGCTGCAGAGCGAGGCTCTGTAGCGGTTCCCGGAAAGGAATTGAGGATAAGGAATTTAAACCTTGATTTTTTTTAACTAGGTCGACCCAAAGAAAATATTTCTTGACCTTTAACTTAATTAAATTCATTACAGTGAGGATCAGCGATTTTATTTCCCTAGAAAAATTTTATAGGGTACAAGAAAATATTAATGAGCTGGAATCGCATAAAACTGATTTTTTACATTTACTTCGTGATTTTGACATTTTCCTAAAATTCAGGGTAAATATAAACACAACGAATAACTTGAACAAAAAGGATTATCATTAAACTTGGTTAAAAAAAGTCTTTAGGGTTGCTGAATAAGAATCTGAAATCAAATGTTTAAAATTCAAAATGTCAGAAAGAGATTTTTAAAAATTGATAATCTTTTATTAAATGCTGCTCACTGACTTTTGGAAAATACAAATATCAAGTCATTTTAAAAAATTGAAATCTGTTATTTAATATGGTAAGGTGGTATGAAAGAAGAGGTAATTTCCTTTTCCATTTAATTTTATATTGACAAATTAGTACAATTAGTTGTGAAATATAAGCTAATTCATTCAATTACATTCTTTTAAAATGCAGTTCAAATTATGTTCACATTTACCCTGAGTTTTTAAATTCTCTAGGCAAATGTAAACAGTTTATTACTTAAATTGAGAAAGGTCAAAAATCAAAGTCAGTTTATGTTATAACATAAATAATAATAATTATAAATAATAAATAATAATAATAATAAATTATAATAATAATTATAAATTTTGGTTTGAATTTTTTAGTTTATTTTTCATGCAAATACGACTTAAAATACTGAAGCAGTGAAACTTTGATTATTTATCTATTTTATGTATTGAGAGATAATTTGGAGTACGGCATTGTCAATTGTCAAAATAAAATTTTGCCAATACTCAGAACCTCTAACAGGTGAGCTAAGGTTTAAATAAATTGTCGACATACTTAATTTTAAATATTTAAATTAATCTCAAACATCAACTGTTCACATTTACCCCAAATGACTCTATTCATTGCATTATCGAGAAATTAAAATTTTAATTATTTAAAAATACTTACAGAGAATTTTCAATTTTTTTTTACAAAACACTGCGTAAAAAGTATAATGAAGATTCGTAAATTTTGTTATATGTTTAAACCATGTAGACAATACAGAAGCAAAATGAAGACAAAGAAAAAAGTTCCTGTAAAGTATTTTCTTGAAGTTAGAATAAATATCACTCACCATTATTTTCATTGATAAAGATCAAAAATCGAAATTATGATACCAAGGACAAAAAATTAATAAATAAAATGTAGTTTAAAAAAAACTATTTCTTAGAATGAGAAAATCAATACTTTTATACTACAAACATTCAGTTCTGTAATTTTTATACAATTTTTAATAAAACATTTCTGTTATTTTGTTGTCGTTATTTACATTATTATTTACATTGATTTCATATATAATTAAAGTGGATTGTTTTCCTTATCAATTTTAAATATTAATAGCAAATTTTATTGTATATCAATATAACAAAAAAAAATAATTATATTTTATTTATTGTTAAGGTAAACCTTCTGCTTTCAATGATATCCGAAATCCAGATTGGGTTCCAAATCAAAATTTGGGATACATTGTTGGTACTAACATAAGAAAGCCTTCAGATTTACAAATAAGATATGAAAGAGCGAAAGCAAGAGTAAATATGTTACTGATTTTTTATTCTAAAAGCAATTATAAAAAAATACAAATATTCTACTATTATCTTTATAATGAAGGACTTTCGCGCGTTAATAAAAACCCGTGTACACCGTCCACATTAATCGAACGCTAAATACTTATCTCAAATTACGCTGAACAATACTAAAGGCCCAGTGGGCAAAGAGACGTTTTAAAAACGTCTAAAAGACGTCTCATCTTGGCCGCGGACATCCGGGGACAATGATAGTAAAAGGATGTCCAAAAGACGTCTTCTGGACGTCTAAGAGATGTCTTTAAGACATCTTAAAGAAATCAAACGGTCAAGTCATAGAACATTCTTTGGACGCCTTTGTCGTCTTAAAGACGTCTTTTGTCACAAGTCCAAAAGAAGTCCACAAAAAGACATCCTTATGACGTCTTTTGAACAAGTGTGCCTACTGGGGGGAGATTCCAACCAAGTCAAACCATCGGTGCATTGATGATCTCAGAACAAGATTAACCATGAAAGAACTCAGCAACGTTGAAATGCCGACACTAAGACGAAGTTGACTAACGCTGATAAATCCAAATATGTTAACGACAAATAACACACATTTAGTTAACAACGAATAAAGATTTATTTAACACATACAACAATTATTTAAAAGAATAATTAAGCGTGTAACGCGATAATCAGTTATGAGTATCACAACAAAAGGGTCTTCCTTTCAATACCAACTAAAATCGACTGCCTATTGACGCCGACTTCCCCTAGATCTCCTAATCTATTATTTTCCTCGTCACTCCTATTGCTCCATCCTTCTTCCTGGACGATTTTGGCGGCAGCTCCCCGAAAAACCTAGATAACGACGCTGAGAATCGGGCCTTTAGGCGGCACAAACATGTGCAGATCCTCACGCAGAAAAACTGCCAGAACATATGTTCATGGCACGCTGACACGAAAAACCTCTTTTCTGCCTTAAAATAAGACTTTCTTTTACAGTGTATTCACATTATGTGATTATTACTTTCATTGAAACGTCCACTACATAGAAGATGTTTTTTTCCTCAGTCCCATAAAGGTTAAAAAACTAAAATTTTTTCATGCTCATCAGCAAATAACAACTATAATTAAAAAAAATATTCTAGATATTGAAGAGGGTTGTATTTCTTCACCAAATAAGGTAATTAAAAACTAACAAACTGATTTCAATAGACATTCCTTGAAAAATATAGATTTTTTATTGTCTTTCATTATATACACAATTAGTGCAGAAAGAGCACATGTTTACAAATCCAAATTGTTCAGGAACCAATAAAAACTGTTTTTCTTATAAATATAAGAATTTTTTTAAATTCTTCTTTTTTGTTTTACATTCTATTTTAACATTTTATTAAGAAATTGATTCTTAACAAAATTCCATATTTTAGGAAATGATCAAAATCGTACTTGCTGACATATTGCGAGAAGACATATACGCAGAATATTTACATGTAAAATCACAACAATTACATTACCTTAAAACTGTTAATTAGTATTTTTCATCTCATAGAAAGAAGCAGACGAAAATTGCGCTTTGTATATAGTTAAAGAGATGTTTAATAAAAGCACCGCAAGAGTTTCCAGTACAGGACGGTCAATTAAAACCCCGAGAAAGATTTTAAGCAATTCAGATGAAGAAACTCGTCCACCAAAAACATCCAAAAGAACAGTAACAGTTAAGCAGAAGAGTAACCGCTCAGATTCGTGAGTAAAATTCTGATGTAAATGTGTTAATTACGCGAATCCGAAATCAGTTTTTCAAATTCAAAATGTCGAATCCAATATGGCGAAATTTTTTTAAAATTAGAAACCGAATCAATTGAAACTTGTTAGTTTGGATTGTTTTTGGGGTCACTGATTACGATTTTAATATTAGATTCGTAATCAGCGACTCGAAAAACCCTGAAATAAAAAGTTTCACGCGAATCTAACCAAATTGTATAAAAATTGTCGCCATTTTAAATACTGGAAATCCAATATTAGATTCGTAATCAGCGACTTTGAAAACCACCCAAGTAACAAATTTTAAGCGAATCTGATCAATTTAAAAAAATATTCCCCCATATTGGATCCGCTATTTTTGAATTTTGAAAATCTGTCATCGCATTCATATAATCTCAGCGATCTCTCATATTTATTTTATGAATATTATATTTTTGTTTTTTTTATTTTTAACTAGTTCTGAAAATATTGCTTTGAATTGATAGACATACATTTTTTCCATTTCTAATAGGTCTCTATCGCAACAGAATACAGCATCTGAAAATTCAGCTATTACTGACAACAAATTAAACTCACCATTGTATCATATATCTCAGATAGAAGATCATCAGGAACATACATCTTCCACGCATCTAGTTGATCAAAAAAGCTCTCTCACAAGCTTGTAAGTATAGATTATCTCATAGTATACAGAAAAAACCTGATCACAAAGTGAGTACGGATTTTGTAGGGGAAAGTGGGGAGTCGTGCTCCACCTTAAAGGTATTTCTCCGGCAAATCGATTTTCGCTAGAAATTTTTTAAACTCTTGAAAAATGTTCCTTTTTATGTACTATATAAGTGGTAAAAAACCCAGTACCCCTTGCCATACTAAAAACTGAGAAATCTGGGTTCAAAGTTGCACCAGTTAACATAGGACTCCTAATCTGAACATGCAAAACTCATACATTTTATTGAATTATTTAAAAAGTTATTGATAGATTTTTTTAAAAACGAGTATATTGTAGAGTGGAATTAATAGAATAAGATAAAAAAAAGTTTTTGTTAGTTACCGGGATTGGTTCCCGTTTTCGGACAAAGGCAAAGATAAAAGTCGAAGTCAGAAATGTTAATAATTATTTATTATTGTGGAACAAGAACGCGGAACACAATTTCAATATCCCGGACAAAAAGGCGCGAAACACAAGTTTCGACTAACTTTAACGACCTCCGAGAACTCCACTCCGCCACAGCCGAAATTAAAGTTAATGCGTCGGTGACGTATTCTTTGAAGCGTCCCATACTGGGAACACCACTTCTTCACGTCCCAAAATTCAGGTAGTCACGAACTGGGAAAACCCCAATTTTTCCTCGTAGAAAGTCCAGCTGTGACCGTTGTGGCTTTTCTTCAAGTAACAGTCTGAAAAATAGTAATAAAACAACCCCCCACCGAACGAACAAAAAACCCAACACAAATCTAAATCAACTAAATTATTAATAAAGTTAAATTACGGATAACTTAAACCAAAAACACTTTAAAACTCCCTTTGATTCCGTCACTTCTGGTTCCTGTTTTCAACAGTTTTAGTAGGGGTATCCATGCTAATTTTTGAATTACAACGTTTTGAAGTAGAAAAGTTAGGTTATTTATTGATTTTTCAAGAGAGTCAAGTATATTACTCGCTTGAGAAAGAAAGAGAAAACACGACATTGAAGTGAGCTGTTGATTAGTATAAACTAGTCGCAAGGAACTGAACACTACTGGAGTCGGAGATATACCTTAATATTTTTAATGTGGCAATTAAGATGATAAATTTCAATTATTGGCATATTCTTTTCTCGTTAAAAACTAACTTTTTAAGTGGTACTCGTTATTTTTGGAAGCATTTTTCGTGTCTTTCCAGATAGTGATAGTTAATATTTGTTTCTAAAAGTTTTTTTGTCTCTTTATGTTTAGGTCATTTCCACTAATTTTTTTTAAAGTGATCACAATGTTTAATGCATAAAAATTATCTGTCATTAATAACTTTTCAACGTACAAAAAAGAAATTCGCAAAAACATTCGATGTATTAATTATTTTATGACTATTTTTGAAAATGTAGAAAGTGGAGAGTTGTGCTCCAGCGTTAGTGAAGAGTTGTGCCTCACATCATATTTAACAGCTTTTAAATCTAATATATATATATATATATATATATATATATATCAGAAAAAAATTAATAAATAAAGATACTGAAGTTTTTTACATTCTCTATTTTTATTCTTTTTCTAAATTAATAAAATATTTTTCATTCTAAAATTTCAACAGTAAACAGTTTTTTAAAAAGACACCTGTTTAATTTTTAATAATTTATAATGAAAAACAATTTCGTAATGTAAGTATAGTTTCTTCCAAACTTAATGTAAATTTTCCAAATTTTATACAATATCAGATATTATTTAGAAAATAAAACGTCGTATCAAATAGTAAATTATTTGGGATAGATTAAAAAATTAATTAGTTAAAACTTTATTAGTAATATTACAAAATCAAACAGATAAATTTCATTCTATAATTAACAATAGAATTTTCGCTAATAAATCGAAAGATGCGTCTTGAAAACATCTACGAAACTAAACATAAATATCTCCCTGCCGATGGCTGTCTGCTACCAAGAGTCTTGTAAATTCTTGGTAGACCTTGTCGTGGTGGTGGGGATTTTCACTAAAGAACTTCCAAAAACCAAGAAGTCTAGAAGTCTAGAAGAATGTCAACATGACTGTTAAAGACGGACTTTAGACTCTTCAGGATTTTGTCAGTGAGTCGAAGACAAAGCACGCCCTAGCAGACAATAAAAATGGTAACCTTGGTGCGGCGCTATAGGCAATGCTAAGGTGAACCGAGAAGAGCGAAGCAGAAAACGAGAGCGTATCCATGAGAAGCGGTTTCGGCACGCAGTCATAAAGGCGCAGAAACGAAGAAAAAACTGTAGCAGTCCGGAGAGAGCTAGCGCCGAGGCGAAGAAGAGAAAGCAAGAGGAGGCATCTCTTGTCAAAAAGATTGCCTAGGTGACGGTAAGCTCAAATCCTAAGCAAACCAATAAGAAGAAAACGACGAGTGCATCTACAATAGTAATCCGAGTGGCAACTGGAGCAACATATGCCGATGAACTGAGCAAACTTCGGAAGGAAGTGAATCTAGACGTCAGCCATACGCAAGTTGTTGCCGCTAGGTCTACTAGAAGGGGAGATCTGATTAAAATTAGAGGAGACTCCAATAAGGAGGCACTCACCGCTAAGATCACCATTTAAGCCGTTTGCTTGCATAAGAAAGGTGCAGATCGTAGATCGACAGGTCTCACTGGAGATCCGCGACCTGGATTGCCTTACCCAGGAAGAGGAGGTCCAGCAGACGTTGTCGGAAGTGCTCTAGAAGCCAGGAAGCAGGAAGATGACAATCCTAGGAACTAACTGACGACGAATGAAGCTCGCGATTGTAGTCACCGACCTAGAAGAGGCGGACAGGCTGGAGAATGTGGGACGCATAAGAATCGGCTTTATGTGTTACCCAATCAAACGAAGGGTGATGGTCTGGCGGACAGATTGCCTGCTTGCTTCAAGTGCAGTGAAGTCGATCATATGTTTGCAAACTACAAATGAAGCTTAAGCTGCTTCTATGTAGAGAAAAGTGTGGTGATAAGGCGAACATTAGCCATATCGCAGCAGCGGAGAATGCAAAGTTTTCAGGACGGCCCTTAAGGAGTCCAAGAAGACTTGCATGAACCAAGAATAAATAGGCCAGAAAGATCGGCAACGGCAAGGGTCGCGATAGCGAGATCCCAGGGACTTTCACCTACGAAGTTTAAAGCTTGACGGCAGTTCCATAGTTGAGGATTAGTCCAGCCAAAGGGTGTTGTTTTTCGTGGATCGACCAGAACAAGAACGGTCATCCCCACAAAACCTAGGAGAACGAGGCTCCACGTATCTGCCTTGGATATCAAGAGTTATGCAGATTTTCCACTTCCATCGTTTAAAAAAAATCCGGCAGCCCCCTGCGGGGGCGGCCACATTCTCATCACGCGCTTCGCGCGTAGGGGCTCGCTTCGCTCGCTAGTTTAAGCGCGCCCCGGGGCGCGCGAAGGATGATCGTCCCGCTTCGCGGTCCAATATTTTTACGCGCTTCGCGCGCTTTGTTTGTTTATTACAATTCAAAACCTATTAGCATTAATTACTTTTTAACTATACTCTGTAATACAAAAATTTTCCTATTAAATTTAAAAATTGTATTAATTATACTACCAGAAAGTAGTTGAATGACCCAAGAATTTATTTGGTAGAATGAGATTTTGTAGTTGTTTCAGACTTTGTAGTTGATTTAATTAATTTTGAAGTAAAATGTCAAGAAGTAAGAAATTATTTTTATTAATTTTATTAAAAAAATAAAATTAATTACACACAGAGTTAAAACAAGTAAAAAAGTAGTTATTTTAAAAGGGGATCTTCATATAATCGACTTGTTTTGAAAAATTTATTAGAAACAACTCATAATCTTTATTAACATGCGTTAAATTAAATTATACAAATAGGTAAGGTTTAAAGGTATTAGAATAAATTTTTTATCGACCAAAAAAAAGAGAATGACGGCACTGCAGCTGTTCAAACTTAGTTCCTTAATATTGCGCCGTGGATTGGCCAGGACTTTGTAATTAACGAAAATCGACAAACCAAATTATTTACTAAAATAAGATATTCCGCTTTGAGCTAATTTCAATTGAGTAAAAGAAAAAATTAATTGAAAATTTAAAAACACTAAAAAAAAGAACTTTAAAGTAAATGCATTTTTTAAAGTAACAAATTTATTATATGAGGTTTCGCTCTCATGTTTTTATTCATAAAAATTTTTTTGTACAATTTATATAAGTGAAATTTTTGGTTTTTTTAAATTAATTTTCATTTTCTTAAAGTTCTTTGACTATAAGGATAACATTCTTATCACGGCACTTGTGTTTCACGCTCGAAAATTAGAAGCATACAATAGGAAAAGGAGACATGCATTAACCCATTAACGAAATTTTTATAGGTAATTTCAGGTTCTATCAAGTAGTGTACTAAAAGAACCGAAAATTTTTAAATAAACAATTTACAAGCATTAAAAAAAAGATTTTTTTAGAATTTTTGTTCAGTTTTTATAATTTTTTCAAATCTTATCCCTTCAGAATACCTTTAAGGCCAGGTCCAAGTGAGGCAGCGCAATCTACATTGATACTAAAATTTTGGAAAATTTTCAACAGCCTTTTCTTGAAAACAAGATGGTAAAATGCTTTTTCCTTTATGGATAATTGATTATTGGCAAGATATACACCAGCTAAAACTTTTTTTGAGTTAAAATAATAAAAAAAATTTCATGTCAATAAATTAAATATGAGCACTTTTTTCACAAAAACTGTAACAGTACTTTCTCAGAAATTACAATAAAAAATGCAATTTCCATTTGGAAAATTAATAAACGCTAAAAAATACACGACCTAAGATTTACCAATCACGAAAATAACAAAAAAAATGTTATTAAATATTTAACATATTGATACTGCTTTACTGAATGTGACAGCCCTTTGGTAGATTATGTATTTCAGGTGGTTAGCAACAGCGCCAATTTCCTCCTTTCGGCAAATCTGCGAAACGTCTGGTGACATAACCTGCCAAACA